AGAAGAGGAGTTTGTCGAAGAAAACTGATGTATTACTGTTCACTCCTGAAGAGCCTTCTTAACATTTTTAAGAAAATTACAAATGGGCCCTTGAATAGGTGCCCAAATACAAAAAAGGACGAAAGGACATAAATGCCCTTACATTCTCAACAACATTCATCTATTCCTTTGCGTCAATCATCTTGTATTTCTCGTCCACCTGATCGCTATGGCTTCTTTTCAAGTCATAGCTCCTTCTCAGCTGTCTTGTCATCCACAGATACTCCTAAGTCTTGCAACTAGGTCGTAGTAGTTGAGCATTGGAAAGAAGCTATGGATTCAGAGGTTCAAGCTTTATTGGAGAATGATACATGGGGTCTTGTCTCTCCTCCCCCAAATGCCTCCATAATTGGTAGTCGGTGGGTTTAGACCATAAAACTCAAATCTGATGGTACTCTGGACAGATACAAGGCCCGTCTGATTGCTCAAGGCTATAAGCAAAAGTATGGAATTGATTATGATGAAACTTTTGCACCTGTGGCCAAAATGACAACAATTTGTTTGCTACTAGCCATTACTGCTCTCAAACAGTGGACAGTTCACCATATGGATGTCAAGAATGCCTTCCTCCATGGAGAGTTACAGGAGACAGTTTATATGAAACCACCTCCCAGCTACTGTGACAATCCTCAGTTGGTGTGTAAACTGAAGAAATCTCTATATGGCCTTAAACAAGCTCCATGGACTTGGTCTGATCACTTCTGTACAATAGTGTTGGAGGCTGGTTTTCAGCAGAGTGATTCAGACTACTCTCTCTTCACTCTCAAGCGGGCTTAGGGATTGACTCTTCTTCTGGTCTATGTTGATGACATCCTTATTACTGGAGATGATGTGGATGGTATTAACAAACTCAAACTTCTACTTAGTAACTCCTTCAAAATGAATCTTGGGCCAGTAACATACTTTCTTGGACTCAAAATTCAAAGATGTCATCGGGGTTACTTTGTCAACCAACTGAAATATGTTTCTGATTTGGTGTCTCTTGCTCGCTTGACTAACTCTAAACATGTTGATACACCTTTGGAGCTTAATTGTAAGTTAAGTAAAGATGATGATGGTCTTCTTCCTAATGCTACCTTGTATCGACAACTTGTAGGTAGTCTTATATACCTAACCATGACTAGACCTGACATTTCCTATGCAGTTCAGATTGTGAATCAGTTTGTTTCTGTTCCACATCAACCTTACTATTCTACAGTTCTCCGAATTATTCGTTATGTACAGGGTACACTATCACATGGCTTATTTTTCTCATCCTCTTCATCCACACAGCTCCGAGCTTATGTAGATGCTAACTGGGCATTTTGTCTTGACACTCGTCACTCTACTACTAGTTGGTGTATATTCCTTGGTGATTCTCTGATTTCTTGGAAATGCAAGAAACAACAAACGGTTTCCAAATCATCTACTGAAGCCAAGTACAGAGCCATGTCTTCAGTATGCAGTGAGATCATCTGGCTTAAGGCACTTCTTCATGACATGAATATTGATCACTCATCTGCTATTCCTTTGTTTGCTGACAACATGAGTGCAATCAAGATTGCAACCAATCCTGTATTTCATGAGTGCACTAAACATATTGAGGTGGATTGTCACTTCATTCGTGACCTTCTTCATGCGGGTCACATCTCTCTCCCACATGTTTCATCAGGTCTAAAGGTTGTGGATCTCTTCACCAAAGCCATGACCAAGCCCAACATAATTTCCTTGTTGACAAACTGATGCATATACCCCAGCATCAGTTTGAGGGGGAGTGTAGAAGAACTACTGAAGGGTAGTTTTGTAATTCTACTGTACTATCTTTCTTTCTTGTACTGTAATAGGCATGTACTTTAGTGTACAGTTCTTTTATTCTCTTTGTAAGGACAATCTTGTCCATTTACATAAGATTAATATAAATATCTCTTTTCTGGGTTGGTTCAATCAGATTGATCAACCCTAACAGATCTGAGCCTCTGTCACTTTCCTTGATCTTTCACTTTCTCATGAACTGACACTCCAGAGTTCTCTCTTCCTCTCTTTTCTTCCTATCAATTCCACTAGGGTTTACTTGAAAGCTTAGATATTGTAGGGAAGAAAGATATTTTAGACTGTAATTTTTTATTGGGAAATCCAAAAAGGGAAGACAAGGTTATGGTATTTCTCAAAAACAAGATACCATGAATGCAAGGAAATTGGTCATATAGTGTTTCATTGCAAGAAGAAGAAACAACATCAGGTTCCAGTAATCACCCCTCCATTAAGCCTTCCATGTAGAAGATTCTAAATTTAAAAAAAGAACACTATTATGCAAACTTACAGTACGCTGTCCAGGTATTATTCTTGAAACATGACTTAGTTTAAGATGCTTCTCCTCTTTTCCAGAGTACCATATCAATAAAGACTCGTCCTGAAAAGTGAACACACGAAACCAAGAAAATGGAAGATGTCAAAAAAATCATCCTACTCAAATAACAAAAATTGTTGAAACAATTGAGAGAGCTGAAACCAACCACAGAAAACTAACTCATAACCTGGAGTCTTGCCACTAGAGTTTTAGCTTCACTCATAGTTCAAGGACAAACTACACTGCACCATGAACACTTTGCTCAAAGCAGCATGTATCTCTTTTTTTTTTTGATAATTGAAGCTTTCTGTATCTACGATACTTAAATTTTACTCGCAAATCTATGTAAGCTTTACATTCTAAGTGCATGTTTGTTCAATTACACCCAAAGGTGATGATATTCAAGATTTGGGTTCATCTTATTCCATGTTTTCCCACCATTTAATTTTATATGAGAAACAGGTCCACAACAGTTTTTAACTCTGCTAACACCTTATTGAGAAATTCCAATTAGTGCATTGGGAAAGTAAAATGCCACTTGTTAGGTCATCCAACATGCCATTAAAATGTACATTGTCACAAAATCTCATTTTCCCAAAATATGTACATCATTACTTCCAGGAAATCAGATGCTTAGGTCTTGAAATTCAAGAATTGAAGCAGGCTTAATTAATATTCCCCTATTGGAAAATTTCTATATAGGTTACAAGACAAGAATGTTGTGAAGGGAAGCAAATGGCTGTTTATATTTCTTTCTCCTTTCATGAAGACAACCAAAGGTGCAGTAGCCAACAAAACAAATCTGGTTTCTATATTACATGTTATGGAATACATAACAAGCACTGTTAACAGTTGAAAACTGCAATTTAGAAACCATGAGTCACTACCACAATGTTGAGGAAAACATCATGAGATAGGAAACACAACAGTTAATCATATGTTAGCAATTAGAAACTTACATTAGCAAGCCGAAAAGGACAGAACTTTGGTTTCCCTCTCCTTCCATATTTTAAGAGATATGCTCCTTTCTTAAGGGCTGTAATAGCCTGCACTCATAAAGGGGAAAGAGAAAAGGGGAAATCTATAACATGAAATAGATGCATATAAAAAGGAACATTTGGTGCACACTCTATATAGGAAAGCAAATACGAACTTATAAAATTATTTAGTAACATGTCTTACTCTCACAAAAACTTTTGGATAAAAAGGGAACAACTTTTTGTCCTTCAAGAGAAATATGTTTCTAAAGGGGCATTATTGCCTACTTGTAGAATATGTTGTAGAAATGCATAATTATCCAAAAATAATACAAAAACAGAAAGGAACCTCAAAAGAATGAAGGCAAGATAAATTGTTGGTGCTATAATGAATCAAATTATTCATAGTGGTAAAAGATAGAACTTGGATGACTGCCAACTATCCAGAAGAAGATTTAGGTCAATCAAGACCTCAAGGAACTAGATTATGGAACAAGCATACAATGAATTTCAGCTTAATAGCATCACCAAAAGGATACAAAGAGGACAAAGGAGTTGAGAGGAAGAGGCATCAGCCACCACCAACACTCAAAACTCTTAATGACTATGTCACAAGGTTTTAAAAGGCTAAAGGCAGGGGCGAGGTGGTTGGGTGGCAAAGAGGTGAGGCGTAAGCCTCGAAGCGGTTTGAGGCACAAGTGTCAAAGTATAAATATAATTTTTTTATTTTTATGTATATAAGTACAATGTATGTACATATATGTATATAGACACACAATTCATTTCATTTTATAGCCAACTTACATATTTTCTTTTGATTGCATATATTCTTTCTAATATGAGCAGGCTAGTTGGTACCTTCGAATAGACTTTTTTTCTTTACTATCAAAAAATTCCTTGACTTTGTTACAATCACTTCTTGATCCTTGTAGCTTCAACAATTGTATCATCCAATTGTGGTCAAACTGTCCAAGAATGAATTCATTTTGATCTGCATTCTGCTGCCCTGATAACTGATCATAGGAATGGAAATTATCCCTGATTCCCCTTCTTTTGGCTTCAAAAAAAATCCCTTCTGTTGTATAGTGTATACTTTCTTAAATTTTTTGAGGGTAACAGCTCTGCATAATCTGCACTTTAGTCTAGAGAAGACTTTGATAATATGAACTAGCTGATGATTCTTATTCCCCTTTATCCTTCTGGCAATACTAAAACTTTTAGCCTTCTCCATTGGTTCTTCAATGGATGATATATCCAAAACATATTCTCTTTGTAGCTTGGCTCCTTTTAAGATTTGACATGGCTCGGTAGCTATTATGGTTTTACAGTTTTAGTTGGCATAGCATCATCCTGATTATTAGATGTCTGACAATTGACATATTGATTGCAAAATGAAACATATAAATTACATGACTCTCCACACACATAATTATTGCATCAATACTTCCTAGCACTTCAGTACACGATAGAAAAGGAAATAGTTATTAATAGGTCACCTGCGTAGCTTCTGAAAGTCAAAAATATTTGATGAGAAGTAGAAGAGCAGTGAGAGGAATCAGATTTGAAGTGTTCCCACTAGAGGGAGTTAAAGATAGGAATGTCAATTTTAGAGGATGTGCAATTTGTATCAAGAAAAATACACTCCTAGAAGAGTTGGTTGACAGTTACACATCTAGGAGTACTGGAGTACCTACCCAATATCATTTCTTCTATATTCTATTGTGTTGAGATTCTGCAGTGTTTTTTATGTTTTTTTCTCATTCATAATCAGTAGTGAGTGTTGTTGGGTCATTAGTTAGTGTTATTGGGCCCAAGGCCCATTAGTTTATATTGTCTTTTGGGACTGTTTTTATGCTATTAGCAGTAGCTGCCTATTAAGGGCATATTAGTCTTTGTAATCAATTATATTTTATGAGTATACAAGACATTGAGTGGGGCAACCATATCATTATTGGCTTCTCCCCATCTCTTCTTCTCTTTCTCCTCTTCTCTTCTCACGAAGAACTCTCTCTTTCTTTCTTCTTTTTCACTGTTGTCAAATCAGGTTGCTATTTTCTCTTCTTCTATTTGGTATCAAAGCAACTTTTGGGTTTTTTTTTTTTGAGTTCACCATCATGCAAACCTAGATCAGTCAACTGCATGGTGCCCAGTTCTTGGATTTTTTGGTGGACCTAGAATCCATTCTTGAAATCAGGAAGAACTGGAGGAAGAAAAGTCCTAATTGCAGGACTCTATTTTTTACCTAGGAAGGGATGCTCAGGATTTTTTAGACTTCTTGGTGTTTTCTGAAGGGAGTGGTTCAAATTCTGCAGTTTTCTAAGGTCTTTGGAGGGAGCGACAGCCTTTACTCCTGTTTCTACCAGCTCCCACGGAGATAGGAATCTTTGTGGGTGGAGGTTTCTGGGTACTAGAAGGTTGGTTGATGCCTCTAAAGGAGATAAATCTATTTTTTCTCATCTGCAGCTGATTTTCTAAACTATTATGGGAATTATGGAGGGCAGTGGAGTTGAGTACAAGTCTACCAACGAAATGGGACTAGGTAGAGGAGGTGCTAGTGACCCATTTGGGGCAGGGGCCATCACTACAGCTAAGCTTGATGGTACAAAATATTTGGAGTGAACACAATCAGCCAAAATGGCTATCAGTGCTTGTGGAAAATTGGGGTATGCCACCGGTGAAGAGAAGAAACCTGAGATTAACTCTTCTTAGTGGGTACATGAGAATTACATGGTGATGACCTGGCTGTGCATTTCTATGTTACCCCATATAAGCAAGAACTTTTTATGGGCTAACATAGCTAAGGAGGTTTGGGATGGAGCTGCAGAGACTTACTCATAGAGTGAGAATGTTGCTAGGGCCTACCAATTGCTACTAGGCAGGGAGATAAATCTGTTGCAACTTATTTTTCAGCCTCCAAAACCTTATGACAGGAGATAGATCATTTGGAGGTTGTGGTTTGGGTGAGTAATAAAGATGCAACTACTTAACAAAAGTTGGTAGAGAAGATAGTATACATAGGGTTTGAGCTTCTAGTAGGACTCAACCTAGAGTTTGATCATGATAACATGTTCATTCCCGTGATAGTATACCTCTCTCTCAGACATATGCCTTTGTGTCTGGAGAAGATAGTAAGAAGAATGTGACGATAAGGAACTTAAACCTTGAGCTATCTGCTATGGTTAGCACAATGAAACCTAAGCCCGGTGGTGATAAGGGTGGTAATGATAGTAAGAAGGAGGACAAAAAGGATTTGATCTGTGACTACTGCAATAAGCCTAAGCATACCAAAGATACATGTTAGAAGCTTCATCCACATCTTATACCAAGCCGGCTTAGAAACAAGAAAGGGAATGCTAATATGGCAGTGACTAGTGACTTGTAGAGAACACTGATGTGGGCCCCACTGCAGTGGTCCCCACTGTGTTCCTAGGACAGCATGTGTAGTTATTTGTTTCAGTTATAGTAGTGTCAGTTTGAGTCAGTTTGTTAATTCAGTTGTTATTTATTTCAGCTTTATTTACTTTATTTATTATGTAAGTACTAAGGGCAGATGTGTCCTTTCCATTGTGTACTAAACATAACCTATAAATAATAAGAAAGTGGCGGCGGCAGATTAGTTAGAATCTGTTCCTCCTTTCAACCACTTGTGTTCTCCTATTCCTCTTCTATTCTCTCTTCTTTCTCTCACTTTTCTTCTATTTTGTAAACCTAAAACCTATTAGGATTCAATACTAATTACAGTCTTGATCTTCTACTTGACTTATTTGGACCACCTACCACAACTTCTTTAGAGTTAGTTGCAGTAGTTGCAGTTAGGGATGAGTTAGAGAGATATGGACAGTTTCTAAGTTTGAGAGATACAACTAGTTCCAGTTCTTCACTGAGTGGACAAAAAGGTGCAAGTGGCTCATGAGCTAGTCATTCTACTTCATTTGTACATATAGGTAGTTCATATGCCATCGCAAATCATGCCTTCACTACAGGTAGGGGGGACCTCTCTAGATTATAGACTCAGGAGCCTTAGAACATATGACCAATGTTTTTTTTTTATAGGAAACGGTAACTTTCAGTAGATAATTAAAAAGATTATAGGCTTACCACCCACAAAAAGGATGGAAAAAGAAAATCAAAAACTTACAAACAGGCACAAAACAAAGCCTCCCTAGTAACTCCTTGTTTAGCTAAAGTGTCAGCCATTCCATTTTCTGACCTTCTTACCCAATTAAAGTGCACCCCAATCTCCCTTGCTAAGCTAATAATCTTTTTTAGAGGCTGTCTAAGAGACCACACTCCCAGGTTTCCAGTTTGCATCCACCCTATTACCAGCTTGGAGTCTCCTTCCACTTCTAATTGATGCATGCCCCATTGTTTTGCCAATTTCAAACCTTGAAGTAAGGCCATTACTTTTGCCTTAATGAATCTCCCACCCCAATTGGACCCGAGTAAAGGGCCAAGACTTTTCCTTCCTCGTTTCTGTACACACCCCCAACTCCCAACGGACCTAGATTACCCAAGGAGCTTCCATCAAAGTTTAGCTTCACCTTGAACTGAGGCGGTGGTACCCAAAGTAGAAATCTGCTAAATTCAAAAATATGAACAAAAAAAGTAGTTTCTTGAAGAGAGAAGGAAGAGACAAAAAGAAGAAGAGAAGAAGAGATCTTGAAAAGAAAAGAGAGCAATCATCTGGCCGCCCCCCCTTCACTTATTATTTATACTAAAAATATAAGAGCAGTACAAAGACAACTATGCCCTTACAGGGTAGCATAACATAAAACAGCATATATAAGGCTCAAAAACATAATAAAATTTCGACTCACATAACTATTGTGGTCCCCACCACCTATCTAACAACTAACATAAAACATCTACTCATAAATTAACACAAAACTGATTAATCTTCAACACTCCCCCTCAAGTTGGGAGTAAATGTCACACATTCCCAACTTGCGTAGATCATGTTCAAGCTTGTTCTTTGCCACCCCTTTAGTGAGGACATCAGCTAACTGCAACTCTGAACAGACATAAGGCAAGCAAACTTCTCCGGTTGTTACCCTTTCTCTTATGATGTG